TCGCAGCTCTGGGACGAGTCTCGTTGCAAACTTGTGCACCTTTTCGAGCGTCTTTATGTGTTTGTTAAGATGGGGGGAGGGGCCTCCAGGATGGTGCGGCATACTCTAAGTCTGGCCTCACATAGGCGGTATACAGTGATCTAAAAGATGGGGCTCCAGGAAGGTGCAGCATACTCTAAGACTGGCCTCACATAGGTGGTATACTGTGATCTAAAAGATGGGGCTCCAGGAAGGTGCAGCATACTCTAAGACTGGCCTCACATAGGTGGTATACTGTGATCTAAAAGATGGAGCTCCAGGATGGTGCAGCATACTCTAAGACTGGCCTCACATAGGTGGTATACTGTGATCTAAAAGATGGGGCTCCAGGATGGTGCAGCATACTCTAAGACTGGCCTCACATAGGTGGTATACTGTGATCTAAAAGATGGGGCTCCAGGATGGTGCAGCATACTCTAAGACTGGCCTCACATAGGTGGTATACTGTGATCTAAAAGATGGGGCTGCAGGATGGTGCAGCATACTCTAAGACTGGCCTCACATAGGTGATATACAGTGATCTAAAAGATGGGGCTCCAGGATGGTGCAGCATACTCTAAGACTGGCCTCACATAGGTGGTATACTGTGATCTAAAAGATGGGGCTGCAGGATGGTGCAGCATACTCTAAGACTGGCCTCACATAGGTGATATACAGTGATCTAAAAGATGGGGGCTCCAGGAAGGTGCAGCATACTCTAAGACTGGCCTCACATAGGTGGTATACTGTGATCTAAAAGCCTCCTTATTCCAGTTCCTGAAGGATGTTCTGACTTTTCCCAGAGTAGAGTATGCCGCTGATGTTATTCTGTTTATATGAGCCTCTGGAGTTAGGTTTGGTGTTGTGTCCACTCCCAGGTCTTTGTCTCTAGTCGTTATAGGGAGGTAGTTTCCCTTCATCCTATATTGGCCTGTTGGTTTCCTGGCTCCTGCTCCCATTCCCATCACCTTGCACTTGTTAGTGTTGAACTCTAGCAGCCATGTCGCGGACCATCTCTGCAACCTGTTCAAAGTCATCCTGGAGAATCTTACACTCCTCATCTGCCTCAACCCTCCTCATTAGTGTTGCATCATCTGCAAACATTAACCCCTTAGGGCCAATGCTGTGTGTGTGTGTGTGTGTGTGTGTGTGTGTGTGTGTGTGTGTGTGTGTGTGTGTGTGTGTGTGTGTGTGTGTGTGTGTGTGTGTGTGTGTGTGTATATGTGTGTGTGTGTGTGTGTGTGTGTGTGTGTGTGTGGGTGTGTGTGTGGGTGTGTGTGTAATTACCTAAGTGTAGTTACAGGATGAGAGCTACGCTCGTGGTGTCCCGTCTTCCCAGTACTCTTTGTGGTATGACGCTTTGACATGTGTTTGACATGTTTGAGTGTGTGGGTGTGGGCACAAGTGCCCCGTGGGCCCGGGGCATAGTCGGGCAGGCGGTGACTCTCCTCCCAGACCAGTTTACCCTGATCAAAGGTGGTCATCATCTCCACACACACACACACAGGAGGCGACGGTGTTGGTGCACATGTTGAACCACCACCACCCGCTGCTGCTTCACGCCACGCTTCCACACGCCTGCACTCACACCTGGCGGCCCCTTGCCCCATCTATCCACTCCCAACCACCCCTATCCACTCACTGCCTGATCTATCCACTCACTGCCTGATCTATCCACTCACTGCCGGATCTATCCACTCACTGCCTGATCTATCCACTCACTACCGGATCTATTCACTCGCTGCCGGTCGGATTTAGCTTTCGCAGCCGGATCTGTTGCTCACAGCCAGATCTATCCACTCACAGCAGGATCTATCCACTCACAGCCGGATCTATCCACTCACAGCCGGATATATCCACTCAAAACCAGATCTATTCACTCAGCCAGATCTATCCACTATCTATATAAATAAAAATGGAAATGTTCGTTTGTTCAAACCCGCTAATCTGCGAAAGTTCTTCACCGATTGCTTTGAAATTTTTCACACAATGTTCCATTCGCATCCGAGCGGGTTTTTATATACCTACTATATAGATGTCACGTCTGTGACGGGGGAAAAACATGCATTTTTAGAAAAACTGTTTTCATCTGTTTTTCATGTGAAGGAAATCTTCGAAACCTCTTGACCGATTGCTTTGAAATTTTTCACACAACGTTCCATTCAAATACGAGTGTATTTTTATATACCTACTATATAGATGCCACACCTGTGACAGGTAAAAACATGTTGTTGTTTTTTTAAAACAGCGCCATCTGTTGCATGTAATAGCAACACACACTATACTAAATATGTTACGATTCCATTTCAATGTTTCCGATTGCATTGATAAATTTAATTTTCATAGATTTGATTCATTTTCAATATGATTTAATTATTTTTTGTGACGCAGCGCTGGAATTGAGCTGTGTTGTTTGCCATACCGTTCGTTTCGTGAGTATAGTTTATTTTTTTATTTTTTTATTGTTTTTCATTTCGTTTTTAAACTGTTTTTCTTATATTTCAGTGATGGGAACATCAGATCATTGGGAAAGCATCGGACGAGGGAGTGGGGAATGGTGGGGAGGACGAGGGGACGAGAGAAGGGGATGGTGGGGAGGACGAGGGGACGAGAGGGGGATGGTGGGGAGGACGAGAGGGGGGGATAGTGGGGAGGACGAGGGGACGAGAGAAGGGGATGGTGGGGAGGACGAGAGAGGGGATTGGTGGGGAGGACGAGGGGACGAGAGGGGGATGGTGGGGAGGACGAGAGAGGGGAATGGTGGGGAGGACGAGGGGACGAGAGAAGGGGATGGTGGGGAGGACGAGAGAGGGGAATGGTGGGGAGGACGAGGGGACGAGAGGGGGATGGTGGGGAGGACGAGAGAGGGGAATGGTGGGGAGGACGAGGGGACGAGAGGGGAATGGTGGAGAGGACGAGGGGACGAGAGGGGGATGGTGGGGAGGACGAGAGAGGGGAATGGTGGGGAGGACGAGGGGACGAGAGGGGGATGGTGGGGAGGACGAGGGGACGAGAGGGGGATGGTGGGGAGGACGAGGGGACGAGAGGGGGATGGTGGGGAGGACGAGGGGACGACAGAAGGGGATGGTGGGGAGGACGAGGGGACGAGAGAAGGGGATGGTGGGGAGGACGAGGGGACGAGAGAAGGGGATGGTGGGGAGGACGAGGGGACGAGAGAAGGGGATGGTGGGGAGGACGAGGGGACGAGAGGGGGATGGTGGGGAGGACGAGGGGACGAGAGGGGGATGGTGGGGAGGACGAGGGGACGAGAGGGGGATGGTGGGGGGGACGAGAGGGGGATGGTGGGGAGGACGAGGGGACGAGAGGGGGATGGTGGGGAGGACGAGGGGACGAGAGGGGGATGGTGGGGAGGACGAGAGAGGGGAATGGTGGGGAGGACGAGGGGACGAGAGGGGGATGGTGGGGAGGACGAGGGGACGAGAGGGGGATGGTGGGGAGGACGAGGGGACGAGAGGGGGATGGTGGGGAGGACGAGGGGACGACAGAAGGGAATGGTGGGGAGGACGAGGGGACGAGAGGGGGATGGTGGGGAGGACGAGGGGACGAGAGGGGGATGGTGGGGAGGACGAGGGGACGACAGAAGGGGATGGTGGGGAGGACGAGGGGACGAGAGAAGGGGATGGTGGGGAGGACGAGGGGACGAGAGAAGGGGATGGTGGGGAGGACGAGGGGACGAGAGAAGGGGATGGTGGGGAGGACGAGGGGACGAGAGGGGGATGGTGGGGAGGACGAGGGGACGAGAGGGGGATGGTGGGGAGGACGAGGGGACGAGAGGAGGATGGTGGGGGGGACGAGAGGGGGATGGTGGGGAGGACGAGGGGACGAGAGGGGGATGGTGGGGAGGACGAGGGGACGAGAGGGGGATGGTGGGGAGGACGAGAGAGGGGAATGGTGGGGAGGACGAGGGGACGAGAGGGGAATGGTGGAGAGGACGAGGGGACGAGAGGGGGATGGTGGGGAGGACGAGAGAGGGGAATGGTGGGGAGGACGAGGGGACGAGAGGGGGATGGTGGGGAGGACGAGGGGACGAGAGAAGGGGATGGTGGGGAGGACGAGGGGACGAGAGGGGGATGGTGGGGAGGACGAGGGGACGAGAGGGGGATGGTGGGGAGGACGAGGGGACGAGAGGGGGATGGTGGGGGGGACGAGAGGGGGATGGTGGGGAGGACGAGGGGACGAGAGAAGGGGATGGTGGGGAGGACGAGGGGACGAGAGGGGGATGGTGGGGAGGACGAGGGGACGAGAGGGGGATGGTGGGGAGGACGAGGGGACGAGAGGGGGATGGTGGGGAGGACGAGGGGACGAGAGGGGGATGGTGGGGAGGACGAGGGGACGAGAGAAGGGGATAGTGGGGAGGACGAGAGGGGGGATAGTGGGGGGGGACGAGGGGATGGTGGGGAGGACGAGGGGACGAGAGAAGGGGATGGTGGGGAGGACGAGGGGACGAGAGAAGGGGATAGTGGGGAGGACGAGAGGGGGGGATAGTGGGGAGGACGAGGGGACGAGAGGGGGATGGTGGGGAGGACGAGGGGACGAGAGAAGGGGATGGTGGGGAGGACGAGGGGACGAGAGAAGGGGACAGTGGGGAGGACGAGGGGGGGGGGATAGTGGGGAGGACGAGGGGGGGGATAGTGGGGAGGACGAGGGGACGAGAGGGGGGGATAGTGGGGAGGACGAGGGAACTGGGGAGTAAGGAATGGCTGGGAGGACGAGGGGACGGGGGAGGAAGTGGAGAGCACTGGGAGACAGGGGGAAGGTCGCTGAGCCACAGCAACGTGTGGCCGGGTACAGCTAGTCTATCTATATACAAAAGTATTTTGAGTTTCATTTCCGTTTTCTAAGACTGTATGAGTATACAGGACCCAGTTTGTTGCATCTGTTGGTATTTGGTAATGGTGGCAGGTGATTAGGTGGTACGACTGTTAGGGAGCACTGGGTCGTCCGGGCGGTGGTTGCACCTTCTACTGGGTCTGTACGCTCGTTAACACCCCCATTCGACTGTTAAGACGGTCGTTAGCTGCTATTCCACTGCTAGGACGGTCGTTAGCTGCTATTCCACTGCTAGGACGGTCGTTAGCTGCTATTCGACCGCTAGGACGGTCGTTAGCTGCTATTCGACTGTTAGGACGATCGTTAACTGCTATTCGACCGCTAGGACGGTCGTTAGCTGCTATTCGACTGTTAGGACGGTCGTTAGCTGCTATTCGACCACTAGGACGGTCGTTAGCTGCTATTCGACCACTAGGACGGTCGTTAGCTGCTATTCGACCGCTAGGACGGTCGTTAGCTGCTATTCGACCACTAGGACGGTCGTTAGCTGCTATTCGACCACTAGGACGGTCGTTAGCTGCTATTCGACCACTAGGACGGTCGTTAGCTGCTATTCGACCACTAGGACGGTCGTTAGCTGCTATTCGACCGCTAGGACGGTCGTTAGCTGCTATTCGACCACTAGGACGGTCGTTAGCTGCTATTCGACCGTTAGGACAGTCGTTAGCTGCTATTCGACTGTTAGGACGGTCGTTAGCTGCTATTCCACTGCTAGGACAGTCGTTAGCTGCTATTCGACTGTTAGGACGGTCGTTAGCTGCTATTCCACTGCTAGGACGGTCGTTAGCTGCTATTCGACTGTTAGGACGGTCGTTAGCTCCCATTCGACTGTTAGGACGGTCGTTAGCTGCTATTCGACCGCTAGGACGGTCGTTAGCTGCTATTCGACCGCTAGGACGGTCGTTAGCTGCTATTCGACCGCTAGGACGGTCGTTAGCTGCTATTCGACCGCTAGGACGGTCGTTAGCTGCTATTCGACCGCTAGGACGGTCGTTAGCTGCTATTCGACCGCTAGGACGGTCGTTTAGCCTCGTTCGACAGCTAGGACTTGACAGAAGCTGATAACGTCCAACCCGTCTTCTTAATAACGCTTTCGTTATTTTTTCAGCGTTATTGTAACCATCGTTACAAACGCAGCCGACTGTGAAAAGTAACGTCTCGCGACCCCCCTTACGTTTTCTGTGGATCGTACTTGGCAGGTTAGGTGAGGGTTGCTCAGGTTTGTACGTTTCTGGATAGGCTAAAGGTAGCTACGTTAGTATTGTCAACGAAGACGATACACGATATATCTTCGTTACCTCAATATGTGAAGAACAGGATATGCGATATATCTTCGTTACCTCAATATGTAAAGAACAGGATATACGATATATCTTCGTTACCTCAATATGTAAAGAACAGGATATACGATATATCTTCGTTACCTCAATATGTGAAGAACAGGATATACGATATATCTTCGTTACCTCAATATGTGAAGAACAGGATATACGATATATCTTCGTTACCTCAATACGTGAAGAACAGGATATACGATATATCTTCGTTACCTCAATATGTAAAGAACAGGATATACGATATATCTTCGTTACCTCAATATGTGAAGAACAGGATATACGATATATCTTCGTTACCTCAATATGTGAAGAACAGGATATACGATATATCTTCGTTACCTCAATATGTGAAGAACAGGATATACGATACATCTTCGTTACCTCAATATGTAAAGAACAGGATATACGATACATCTTCGTTACCTCAATATGTAAAGAACAGGATATACGATATATCTTCGTTACCTCAATATGTGAAGAACAGGATATACGATATATCTTCGTTACCTCAATACGTGAAGAACAGGATATGCGATATATCTTCGTTATATCATCTAATTCTTTAGGGATAACAATACTGTCGATAACCGTCAATATTACACACAGAGATCACACTAACGTGATGCATCGTGATTAACGTGGTTAAGGCAGTGTTTGGGATGCTCCTGGACGCAGGTTCGAATCCTCGTCACGACCCTCGTGGATTTGTTCATTTAACTGTTAATGTTGTTGTGTAGTCGGCTGGTAATACCTTGACGCTGTTGTAATTATCGGCCACGGGGTAGATTATCGGCCACGGGGTAGATTATCGGCCACGGGGTAGATTATCGGCCACGGGGTAGATTATCGGCCACGGGGTAGATTATCGGCCACGGGGTAGATTATCGGCCACGGGGTAGATTATCAGCCACGGGGTAGATTATCGGCCACGGGGTAGATTATCGGCCACGGGGTAGATTATCGGCCACGGGGTAGATTATATATTTAGAGTAGTTGGGGTTTGTATATGTGAGTGTTTCAACCTCTTTATTGGGGTGGTGTGTGTGTGTGTTCACTAGTGAGCTGCAGTGGACACGTGCATGCACGCACGTGCGCGCACGCACTCTCTCTCTCACACACACACACACACACACACACACACACACACACACACACACACACACACACACACACACACACACACACACACACACACACACACACACACACACACACACACACACACACACACACACACACACACACACACACACACACACACACACACACACACACACACACACACACACACACACACAAACCAAAGCAAACTACACAGTCACATCAGGAGGAAGACAACAGTGAAGGAACAGGTGATGAAACTTAGGGTGGGCGAGGACAGGTAAACAGAAAATGACAAAGAGGTGTGTGAAGAACTCAACAAAAGGTTCCAGGAGGTCTTTACAATAGAACAGGAAGAAGTCACGGCGCTAGGAGAGGTGGCAGCAAACCAGGTGACCTAGGAAAGGTTCGAAATTACAAGAGATGAGGTCAAGAAGCACCTATTGGAGCTGGATGTGAGAAAAGCTGTTGGGCCGGATGGAATCTCACCATGGGTATTGAAAGAGTGTGCAGGAGCACTTTGCCTACCACTCTCCATAGTGTATAGTAGGTCACTGGAAACGGGAGACCTACCAGAAATATGGAAGACTCTGTGCTTGGACCTATCCTGTTTCTGATATACGTAAATGATCTCCCAGAGGGCATAGACTCATTCCTCTCAATGTTTGCTGACGACGCCAAAATTATGAGAAGGATTAAGACAGAGGAGGACAGCTTGAGGCTTCAAGAAGACCTGGACAAGCTGCAGGAATGGTCGAACAAATGGATGCTAGAGTTTAACCCAAGCAAATGTAATGTAATGAAGATAGGGGTAGGAAACAGGAGACCAGATACAAGGTATCACTTGGGAGATGAAATACTTCAAGAGTCAGAGAGAGAGAAAGACCTGGGGGTTGATATCACGCCAGACCTGTCCCCTGAAGCTCATATCAAGAGGATAACATCACCAGCATATGCCAGGTTGGCTAACATAAGAACGGCCTTTAGAAACTTGTGTAAGGAATCTTTCAGAACATTATATACCACATATGTCAGACCAATCCTGGAGTATGCGGCTCCAGCATGGAGTCTATATCTAGTCAAGCATAAGACTAAACTGGAAAAGGTTCAAAGGTTTGCCACCAGACTAGTACCCGAGCTGAGAGGTATGAGCTACGAGGAGAGACTACGGGAATTGAACCTCACTTCGTTGGAAGACAGAAGAGTTAAGGGGGACATGATCACCACATTCAAGATTCTCAAGGGAATCGACAGGGTTGATAAAGACAGGCTATTTAACACAAGGGGCACACGCACTAGGGGACACAGGTGGAAACTGAGTGCCCAAATGAGCCACAGAGATATTAGAAAGAACTTTTTAAGTGTCAGAGTGGTTGACAAATGGAATGCATTAGGAAGCAATGTGGTGGAGGCGGACTCCATACACAGCTTCAAGTGTAGATATGATAGAGCCCAATAGGCTCAGGAACCTGTACACCTGTTGATTGACAGTTGAGAGGCGGGACCAAAGAGCCAGAGCTCAACCCCCGCAAGCACAACTAGGTGAGTACACACACACACGCGCGCGCACACGTACACACACACGTACACACACATAAACACACACAGACACACACACACACACACACACACACACACACACACACACACACACACACACACACACACACACACACACAGGAGAC